ATAGCGCTTGATATGTCAGAAATAATACCCTACTCTGCAAAAGCCAGTCATTCATATTCACAGCCTTAATTTCTCTAGATCCATTCAACCCAGATCTCTACCCCAAGTCTAAGGACTATCATAATATTTTGAATTTTTTTTCTTTACGTCTGTGACTGCTCTACTAGACTATGAATATTTCAAGAACAAAAATCATGTTTTAGTAAGTTCTGTGTTCCAAGCACACAGCACAAGCTAAATAAATATTTGTGGAATGAAACTGCCTCCATTATTCCTCTCTTATAGTTACAGCTTTATATAGTTTTTCTCAATCTTTATCATATATCAGAATTTCCTGGATGACTTGCTAAAACACAAATTTCTAGTCTCTTCCCTCATAATTGCTGAATCTGTAGGTAGGGCTCAATATTTTGCATTTCCAACAAGGTCTCAAGTTATGTTGATGCTGCTGGTCCAGGCAAAAGATTATGAGAATCATTCACTTAGTTTAAGTAGAAAAAAAGCAGAAATATTAGTAATATATCACATCACAAAAACCACAGTGGAGCTCAGAAATCAGTTTGATTTCATAAATTCGTTACGTGAACAAGTGTCATTAATACATTTTCTGTAGAATGAAGTACCTTAATAAACAAATCAAAAACTAGAAATTTAATGTTCTGCAGAAGTCATTTATAGAAACATTAGAGTAGGAGAGTGTATACTAATGATTAGAGGGGGTTTTCCACCAAGGAGTTTACTCTGACTTGGCCAAAGTAAGATGAAGAAAGTTCCTTAAAATAGCATCTTTTTAACTAGCTAAAATACTAAGTTCAAGGCTGTCATGAATAATCGAAATCCACTGAGAACCTGTAAATTTAACATTGCATTTTCATTTTGAAATTATTTCTCTCATGCTTTGAATCAGGATAATTTAAAGAGACAACACTTAGTTTTAGTTTTCTCATCAACTTTTTGGTGCACAACTTTGAATGAAGACGTTAATCAGCTGCAAAATGCCTAAAAAGTAGGCATGATATGGGTATACAACACATGTACCCCATAAAGACATACAACTATTATGTATCCATAATAATTAAAAATTTTTAAAAAGTGGAAAAAAAAAGAAAAAAAATGGACAGGATAAAAGTGAAAGTGAAGAAAAGAGCCTTAATAATCTACAAACAAAACAGAGCCTCAGGTTAATAAAAATCAGTTTTACCAGACAAATTAGCCTAATTTTAAATAGATTGGAAGTTAGTTTTGTAAACCTAGTAATTCAATGTTATAATAATGTTCTGAGTTTATCTAAGCAGGTCTCACATATATCAATAAATGGTTAACTTTGTTAAAATGAACTTGAAAATGAATTCCTTATTAATGAGAAAAATTAAACAGGAAAAAACGAAAGTTGGGAGCACCTTCTTTGGGGTATGCAGTTCTATGCTTATTCAAAATGCACTGTGAAATGCTTTATTTATATTCAATATAATGAAAATAGGAGGAATAGGAGAACAGTAACTTGACTGTCTTTCATTAGTGGTATACTAACCTAGAAGTTTCCTCCCATTCAGCTCCACCAAACCAAATCCCAAAAGCCCAAAGTCGTCTTTTCCCTTAAGAAATTTTCCCACCTCCCATCTGACATGATCCAAAAATTAGTAAACTCCATGTTGAAATGAACTTTAGCAATCACTCAATATAGATAAGCCTGCATTCCTAATTGACAGTCATTATATTTGAACGTTCACAGTGATTGATGCCTTTTGTGTTTACAGAAGAGTCCCTATCATTTTTGAACACTTGAATTTTAAGCCGCAACTTATCTGTCAGTTATCTTTTTTTGAGGAGTTGGGGGGGGTGGTGGTTCTGCCCATTCTAGAGAACCATACAGTAAGTCACATCTGTCTTTTCCTCAGTAGCTTTTCAAATATTTGAACATAGTTATATCTTTGCAAGGTCATCTCCTTAAGCTAAGCATCATCACTTACCGGAGCCTTGCCTCATATCTTATATTTTGTGGATGCCTCATCATTCCTGGTTTCTCTTCTCTCAATGTAGCCATTTGTGTATTTTTTTTTCCAAAATAAGGATAATAAACAGAACCGAGTAAATGTGGTCTGACTAGGGTATAGACTAGCAGGACTCTCAAACTCTCTTGATTCAGAAGCTAACTTTTTATCAATTTATTATAGTTTAAATATAAATTATCTTGCTTAACAGCTATGTTATACCAATGTATATTGAATTTATGAATTTTTTAAATAAACTTTTTCCAACTTAGATATTTATTGCCCATTCTGTACTTGTGCAACTGATTTCTGTAAACCTAAAAGCAAGACTTACAGTTTTGCCCTGTCAAACTTCATCTTGCTGCATTTGTATGGTGAATCTTTTGAGATATTTGAAATCTTGGTTAATATCCATGCTTTAATTATTCTACCTAGATATTTTCATCTACAAGTTCAATAATCATGTCTTTAATTGATATACTGTAAACAGGAAAGGTACAGATACCTAAGTCATATATTGGAAACATCTCTGAATACCTATCTCTGAATATCTAGCCTGCACCACACGATCTATGCTTTTCTACATCCATTCATTCACAAAGGCTCATTGAGTGCTTATTATGTGCCAGGTACAGTTCTAGGTACTAGGAATATAATAGTAAATACAGAGGTAAATCTCTGCCCCCTTGAACTTTACATTCCAGTGGGGAAAGGCAAAATAAACAAGTAACCAAACAAATAATGTAACTTTCCATAGTGATATGAGGAAAATAAAGCATAGTAAGAAGATGTAGAAGATAGTGATTTAGGGGTGCTATTTTAAATGGATTAGTCCATGAAGACATATCTGAGAAGATAATACTTTAGCACATAGCCTGAGTGATGTGAAGTGTGCTATGTGAAGATCTGGGGGAAGAGTTTTCCAAAAAGGCATAGCAAGTGTAAAGTCTCTGAAGAGGAGACAGGCTTTCCAGAAAGAAAGAGACAGACAGACAAACAGGGCAGGAACAAGTAGTGAGCAATAAGCCATAACTTTGAACTTTATTTTTTTATTCTATATCATTTATTAGCTGTTCATTTTCTTATTGTTAATGTAATGGGAAGCATTTTTAGAGCTTTAAGCTAGGTAGTGATATTATCTGATTCAAACTTCTTAAAGAATATTTTGAGTGATTAAGAGAAAATATTGAAGAAGAACAAGAATGGAAGATGCAAAACCATGTAAGATGCTTTTGCAGTACTTCAAACTAGAGGTGATAGAGACTTTGGTGTAGTGGTGAAAGAGGAGGTACGGAGTGCTTAGATTGAGAACATATTTTGAAGGTACAGGCTTTAAACTTACTGATGGCTTGGATATAGAGTGTGAGGGAAAAAGAGGAATGCACAACTGGATGAATTCAATTGCTACTTTTGTTGCACTCTGGTTTCACTTGTCTTTGGACTATAAAGTCTTCAAGGTTAGGGACCTTGCTCTTTTTCTCTCATATCACTTCAGTTCCAGGTACACAGTAGGCACTTAATGAATATGGTAATTTATCACCAATAAGTCATCTTGGAATCCTCCACTTTCACCCTTGTCATTCCTTATCTGAAATGTCTCAGATTCCATCATTTCTATTCATTCCTACTCATAACTCCCTTATATAGTACTAAGTCATCTAAGAGCTGGATTACCACTACAACTATGTAACTGGTGTCTCTCACTCCAGCCTATCCCAATCTAAGGGAAAATGCAAGTTTATGACTTTAAAAAATTTGCTTCCAGTCATCCATTCAAGAAATACTTACTGATTTGTCTACTTTGTGTCCAGAACTCTTCTTGATGCCAGGGATATAATAATAAAAGAAATGAACAAAAACTCTGCCCTAGGGGATCTTATATTTGCAATAACTAAAAATTTGGAGTATGATTGATAAGAATAAGTGCTACGAAGAAAAATGAAACAGGAAAGGGGTTATAGGGAGCACTAAGAAGACCACAGTTTTAAATAGGGAACTCCTCTTTGAAGAGGTTGCCTTTGAGCAGAGATTTTAATCAAGTGATAGGGTAAGTCATACAAAGATCAGAGGGCACAACAGTACAAGGTCATTGATGTGGGCATGAGTTTGACTCATTTGAGAAATGGAGAGAAGGCCAGTATGATTAGAAAGTGAGTTAGTGGCTGAGTGGCAGATGAGGTGAGAAAGACAGCAAAAGCCAGATCATTTAGGGCCTTGAGGACATGGTAAGCAATTCACATTTTGTAGTATATATGAATGGAAACCATTGGACAGTATGGAGCTGGGCATGATATGACTTTTGTTTTTAAAAATCACCTAAGTTTCTCTGTAGATCATTGACTGTATAGGATTGAGGTCTCCTGCCCTAGGGCTTTTGGTGGCATCCAGCAAATTTGAGGAGTATAATAAGTGTGTTAACTGATGTGACATGTGGCTTGATGTTTTTGATGTAATGGTGTAATGGAGATCACCCAAGTAATTTCTGGAAGAAGACAGACTGAGGTCAGGTGAATGGAACCCATAGCTTCTTATCTCAGTCACCACAGTCAACCAGTCACATATAACAGCACACTTGCTCTTACTGAAAACTTCTAAAGTCTCAATGGACGCCTTCTCGATTTTAGTAAAACTGAATATATACCTGTCAATTGAACACTGACCACAAAAGAAGGTCTATGTTCTTTTGCTATCATCTGGTTTTGGCATCTAATCTCAAATTGGAAGGCCAAGCAGCACCTGCTCAAATGGCTGGCATGTAACTAACTACTATAGTCACAGGGATGATGAGTGTTCACAGCTATTTGGGGAGGGAGGGGTACAGAAAGGCCTGACCATAGATGCAGCTGATATGTGCGGGGGAAGAGGCAGCCCAATTGCAGGCAGACATCTCTCCTCTCCCCTCCCTACTCTAGGGTTCTGGGCTGAGGCCAGGGACTGTCCGGAGCTGATCTTGGGCTCCCATTGGCCGCTGTCTTTTGTGACGTCACGATCATGATGAGAATTGATGATCGGACACGCTGATTTCATTGTCTGAGGCAGCAGTGGAGACCCAGGAAAAATCTCGCTGAATCCGCCTGTCCCGGCAGTGGTCTGTCTGGGTTCCTCTAATCCCTTCCGTGACTGCACCACGCCCGAGGTAAGCACCTAACCTGGGTGGGTATGAAGGGCGAAGCGGGGCGGGCAAGGCACGGGGATAATGCTTTGCCCAGTAGGGGGCCCGTAGGTTCTGTGGCCTAAACAGGCAGCCAACAAACTGGTGCGGCTTCTTGGGAGCTAACTGCCTCTACCCTCCTAACGAAGGTTGGCAGCAGCGTGAGATTAGAAACGAGCTGAGAATAGGGATACAGTAGGCATTGCCAGAGAACGAAGAAACTTACTCCGAGAGAGGGCGATGTTTGGGACGCGCTTCTGGCACGGTAGTTAAAAGAAGTGGCATTCTCGCCTCCAAAGAAAGGAGGGGGTTGAATTCTATCACTTCTAGATTTCACTGGACAGTAGATTTCTCACAGCCCTACTCAAACGCACGGAGGGCGCTGCGCCTGCGCATTAGCACCTTGAGGAGGGTGGTTCACGGCGAGACTCTGCATGGAGCTTGCGCAGGCGCTTTTTCCGTTTTGTTGGAGGGGGTGGGGCTGAGCCCTTTCTATGCTGAATATGGGAAGGCTTGAGGGGTTGGCCTTGTGATGTTTCAAGCACCAGTTAGTGGGGAGGGCTCTCTCTGCCAGTGACTTTGAATCTGGCCTACTGAGTATACCCTGGCCCAAATGGGCCTGATAAATTTGAGAAGGAAATTTCTTAATCTATAGATACTAGGTGTGGAATAATGGAAAAGACGCAGAAATGAATTTGTGGGATAGAAATTTCTCAGATAACAAACATTTGTGCTTGGAGAAAAAAGTAAACACTAATTATGCAAACGAATCTAAATGTTAATTTTAGAGGAACTCTGATGTGGGGTGATAGTGATTTTGAACCTTAAACTCTTTGAAGATAGAGTGAAATCCATTGTGGAGACTCAGAATGAGAAATTTTTCTTTTTTTTCTTTTTGTTTTCTTAAAATAGCATCTTATAAACCTTTAGTCCTGATTCCAGGTTTGGTGCTGAATCCTTCTTTCTTCTCCCTCTGTGCCTCTGCTAGAACCACTGTAGTCAAATATTATTTTGAGGGACCCTCTTCAACATCACTTTATTGTGAGGGATTATATTACTCAGCAATTGTGAAGAACATCATACTTGTCTGTCCTTGGTAGAAAAATTGTACAGTAGTGTTATTAATTGCCCTCCACCATCTGATCATGGATATGATCTATTTTACAGAAGAATCTGGATTTTTCTCCATTTCTTGTGGTTAAGGGATTACCAAGTCCTGGTGAATTTTCTTTTGAAAGCCCCCTCACCTATTTCCTCCCTTACTCTAAAATCTAAACTCTCATCATCACCTATCTAGTCACAACAGAAGCTTCCTAGCCAGTCTTCACCTATGCCCCAAATCCTTAATTTATCCCACCAGACTAATGGTCTGTGAATACTTTTTTCATCAAGTCATTTTCTTTTACCAGAATATTCTTGGCTCATTATTTTCTATTGTTCCAAGCCCGATTCCACCTGAATTTCAAAGAACTATATAATCTGGCCTCATTGTACCATAGGAACCTTATTTTACTTTATTATTCAATGCACAACTCTCCTTAATGTTCCCTGAACAACCTACCTCCATACCACTCCTTACCCTTCTCACATCACTGCCATCCCCTTCACCTAGGATGCCCTCTCTTCCACATAATTCAAATATTACCCGTGTTGGAAGCTTAACTCAAGTTATACCTCTCCATAAGTGCCTTTCAAGTCTATCCCAAGTGTTAGCTCACTTTTGCTAGAATTCCCACATTAATTCTTGTAGTTGTCATTTTCTTGTAGCCTGGTTCATATTATTTTTTTTATTTTCTTTTTATTTGGGGTGTGTGTATGTGTGTGTGTGTGTGTGTGTGTGTGTGTGTGTGTTTTAGACTGGACTTCTCAGGGGGGTTTTAAACCCCACCTTAAGGATTGGGACCATGCTATCTACTTCTTTATCATCTGTCTACAGCACCTGACTAATTAAAATAACTGTAGTTACATACATTCTTTTTTTCCTCTAGAAAACAATTTTCTGAGAAATGAAGTGATATTGTTACTGTACATATGTGAAATGTAAAATCTTATTAATCATTAGTCAGGCAAGGGACCCTACAATGACTGAATAAACCTGACTATAAGTCAGAGAAAAGGCATTATGGAGTCCTCTATGTAGTGGGTAGCCTGAAAATATATCATGTTTTCATAAACGTGTCCAAGGGAACATTATCCCAGAAGTGTTACTGTCTGTAATTTTCTCAGTTGGAAAAATGCTAAATTAAGACATATTCCATTTTTCTATACTTATTTTTGGTGAAATTGCGTCACGTGTCTTTTAAAATCTAATTACTTTTTATTGCTTTATATATTTAATCGCTTTTATATTGACTATCCCTGATAGTTTTTTTTTTTTTTTTTTTGAGACAGTCTCACTGTGTTGTCCGGGCTAGAGTGCCGTGGCATCAGCCTAGCTCACAGCAACCTCAAACTCCTGGGCTCAAGCAATCCTTCTGCCTCATCCTCCCGAGTAGCTGGGACTACAGGCATGTGCCACCATACCCCGCTAATTTTTTCTATATATTTTTAGTTGTCTGATTAATTTCTTTCTATTTTTAGTAGAGACGGGGTCTCACTCTTGCTCAGGCTGGTTTCAAACTCCTGACCTCAAACAATCCACCCGCCTCGGCCTCCCAGAGTGCTAGGATTATAGGCATGAACCACCGTGCCCAATCTATCCCTGATAGTTTTAATTTTTACATCTCTTCAGTCAGAGCTGATCATTGTGATGTTTGCCATGATTTCTATTATATAATATATTGGTAGTCATTTTCCTTCTCCTTGGGCTTGAAACTTCATTGCTCCACAGAAGTCAAGTTTTACTTGCATGACAGTGTGATCATGGTTTAATATAGAGGCTTTTTACAGATTTCACTTGGGCTGCTGCCTCACTTTGAGGCACCATTCCAATATCGCATAAAGATTTTCTGTTTAGAAACATGGATTAAAAAAAAGTTCAATGGGGCATTATAACCTATAAATTTGGAAATCATTGTTATAGATTATTATAAATAAACTATGAATGTCATTTAGTATAAGGTAAAATTCTTTCTCTTTGACCTTTTCTCTTATTACCTACATTGTGTGAATCACCTGAAAACTGTTTTAGACTGTAGCCAGCTTTCATAGTAATTGAGACTTCCTAGACGTTTACATGCAGACCAACAGAGAAAACTATTCAAAGTTAGGCAACTTTGGTTAGAATGTGGTGCTTAGATTGCTGTTAATTTTAGAGGGCCTAAAATAAAATATGAAAAAAAGGAGAGTGTGGTGTTTGTGTTTTAAGATTTATTTTACAATTCTTATCTGAATGAGAGACTATCATTGGGTTTTCTCATTTAAGTTGTAGAGATTGCACTGGAAGGGATATTCAAATGATAAGTCAATCTCTTTGTTTTATAAATGAGGAATCTGATACTCAGAGAAGTGAAGTACCTTACCTGTGTTAGTGAACTTTAATATTTATTAAGCACTTAGTGCCAGGCATTGTGCTAAAAATATCATATGTTAGTACATTTAAACCTCACAACATCCCTATGAATTAGTTTCTAGTATTATATCCCATTTTACAAACAACAAAACAGATATTCAAAGCAGTTAATTTTCCCAGGACCATATAGCTACTAAATATCACAATTGGGATACAAATGTAGGTCTGTTTGACTTA